GCAAACTGACTGAGGGTGCCCTCGATCCCCCAGATGATGGATGAAGATGTTAAACAGAACTGGCCCCAGCACTGAGCCCTGGGGACACCACTGGTGACCTGCTGCCACGTGGATTTAGCTCCGTTCACCACAACACTCTGGGCTCGGCCATGCAGCCAGTTCTTTACCCAGGGAAGAGTGCAGCTGTCTGAGCCTTGAGCCGCCAGCTTCTCTAGGAGAACCATGTGGGAGACAGTGTCAAAGGCTTTGCTAAAGCCTGTGTAGACAACATCCACAGCCATACCCTCATCCACCAGGCAGATCACCTGATTGTAGAAGGAGAGCAGGTTGGTCAGGCAGGACCTGCCTTTCACGAACCCATGCTGGCTGGGCCTGATCCCCTGGTTGTCCTGCTTATGCCACAATAGGTCCTGTGACTGGGGCGTCTTATAAGACTCAGCCATCATTTTCCTGCAGAAGTAAGATTTTTGTCACCTTTGGAAACTGTCTCATCCTTAACCAATTTTGTCAGCCCACACCAATTTACAACAACATTTTTGTTTTCACATGCCACTTTGGATGGAAGCTTGCCCACACTGACTTCACTCTCTTTGGGAGATCTGTTTGCAGAGACAGTTGTGTTTACCCAAGGTGTGAGACCAAATAGTGACCTTCTCATTTAATTGATCATTAAAGTCAAAATAATATTGCTCATCTTGTTGATTGCTGTGTTTACATGTTGTCCCACCTACTAGATGTTTATAATATAACTGTTATTATTTCTCAATAATGGTTTAATTGTCTTTACATGGTGAACAGTTCAGTACCAGCCCCCAGCAAAGTTAAGTCTCAATATTTTACACTTGGTATTTAAAATATCACAGACAGCAAGTATCAGAAATTATATAAATTATTTTTAAAAGTTATTTATAACTGGAAACAAATTAAATAAATTAAGTTAAATAACTTTAACTGGAAACAGCAGGAAAATAGAAAAGAACCATTTTCAGAAAGCTGCAGGGGCTCTCCAAGAGAACACCCAGATCTCCTGTTACCCAGCTAGTACTCATGCAAGGCTGATGCATTGACTATTTTACTTGCACTAACTTAGGGTGAGATTTTTATATTAACTACTTAAAAACTGAATGTAAGCAAATGCTCAAGATGATCTACAGAGTCAGAGAAAAAGAATTCACACCAGTCAAAACCCATTTGAATGAATACTAATTGATGTGCTTCCCCATATTGCATTAATCCATGTAAAAATCATTTAAGGTTCCACAATAAACGTATCTGCTCCATTTTTCTCCCCACCTTCCCTCCACAGACTAAAGCCAAAGAAAATATGTCAGACTTTTTAAATGCTTCAGCTGTTTTAGAGGACAATACTCTGACGCCTTTCCTGTATGTACTGAAGGACAGGCCAGTGATCCACATCACAACAAAGGACTGTCTAGATGTTCCTGGGATCCAGCCCCGAGGCCCCAGCACAGCTCACACTCCAAGGGAAAAAAAAAAAGGAGTTAGCCACTGGATAATGAATAGAAGTTGGCTTTTTGCAGTACTTCACCATCACATTGCAGCAACAGAAACATTTCTGGTAATTAGCGGTATTTTTCAAAGCTAACCTCCAAGGCCCTGATCCCACAAAGACTGCACATTCTTAAATTACTGAAATTGCGTGATTCCATCAGCTCTGATGGTATGGGAGGAGTATGGTTGTAAAGCTTATCCTCTACAGCCTTCAGACAATGTGTCAGAACACTCCTGAAAGGGAGTATTAAAACCTTATTAGATACATTTCACTGTTTAAACAAAGCTAGTATTAAGTAACAAAAGATAGGCAAAATTGAGCAAACTTTTAAAATTTGACATATTTCCTTGTCTCTTTTTTTTTTCTCTGGGCAAAAAACTTAATTCATATAAATTATGTAATTTTTCCTTTTGCTGTACTGCTTCATGAACATGTTTACTCAATTTACAAGGCTCAGCAAAACCTTATTTCCTGCTTTCACACGCACAAAGTCAAGCTAGTTGTGAAAATAAAACTGTCCCTAATTTTTTCAGCATCCCAAAACAAATCACTGCTTGTTAGCTACCTTTTGCTAGTACATGCACTAAGCCAGTTTTGTTTTCAAAACATATTTTCCTGAGACTGACTGCAACCCAAAGAGGTCTAAAACAAAAAGGGAACACACACAAGCATTAAAACACCACACGATGAACATGGAATTCAAAAGGAAACTATAATGTTAGGGGTGGGAGAACATATTTCACATCACGAAGCACTGTTACTGCAATAATCAATAAATAGCACAGCCAAACCAGAATTGTTAGACAGTAGCAATGACATTACAATCCCAGGCTCAATATTTATGCTATGCTAATGCATCACATCACAAAACAGGTATTGTGTCTCCTCTGTTCTTATAATTCAGAAAAGCCACCAAAAGCAACACTGGCACTAAATCCCAATTAAAAGCTGACTGGTGACCTGGTGCTGTGGGCTTACTCCCTGTGGGCCGTGGGAATATATACCATTTTAATGGAGAAAAGTGGTAATTAACTGCTACTAATTAGTCTGTGCCATCATTCCAAAGCCTTCTTCATCTTTTCTCCTTTGTTTTACGTTTATGAATTAGCTCTTCTCACGTTCAAATTAAAGGTACAACTGTTCATGTCCACATTCACGTCTGCACAGAAAATGTACCAAAATAGTAATAAAAACTTTAATTCTTTGGGGCATCTAAAGAGAGGCAAGATCACCTAGGGGTATCAGGACAGCATTAAGAGACCAGTCATTACTCGGGACCAAGCCTTATACTCGGTACCAGGAACCCTGCAAAGAGGCCTGGATCAGAGTGTCATGATTTATAAATCACCATAATTAACTATCCTCTTGCCTTTAGAGAAGAGACAGACTGCACAAATTACTAAGCAGGCTGTTCAAAGGGTAAAATAGTGCAGTACTTCATGCAGTACAGATGCATGGATTCACACCAAAAACACCTTTTTTTTTACACCTCCATTTATACCACTGTATTTGATGCTAATTACAGACTTAGGTAGCCAAGTTCCCTGAGCACACACACTAGATGTTTCACTTTTCCAATCATATATTACCAGAACAGCCAATTAGCCACTAAAAACTGCTACCCACATATTTTTCTATCAGTAATTTCTATTTCAAATACTCTGTCCTCCTTCTATATCATAAAAGGACAGCCTGTAAGGAAAAACTGAGATTTCACAATATATATTCTAATATATCTCAACCGGTGTGTCACTCCCATTTCAGAACGTACTACCAGAAACTATTTCTCCATCACTTTCAGTATGAGGACCAACAAGATGAAATTTTTGCTCTAAAAGCTTCACAAACTTGTTATATGAAAAGGTGTGTGTTATCAGCGCTTATTTTCATTCATAAAGCCACCTGAAAGACAGGCTATTCATGGACTAGTACTTAAGTCTCCCAAGGATGATTTTGTCAACTTAATGTTGAGCGTTGCCATTGTACAGAATTACCAAAATTTGATTGAAACAAGATGGAATAATTAAGCTGTTTCTTTTATTTTCAGGATATCATTCCTACATGTAAAACATTCCATCTTAAATATTTAAGATTTTCGTGTGGACTGCCCTCATTTTTTAAATAATGCCTTTGAAATCCAAGAGTTTTGCCTACTTTAATACCGTACCCCTGTTCCAAATTAATCTGGAGAATGCCCCTGAGACAGCCAGATTTTCATCTCCTGTTGAGATCCTTCAGTGTAACTCTCCATCATTATGTACTACTATAAAATTTATTTTGTACAAAAAGAGCTACTTCAGCTTGCATGCCATATTTTCTTCCCTTGACAATCAAGCTGGTTTTACTTATGTTTACTGTGTGGTCTATTGCTATTGTACAACATCTGAGCTGGGAAGCTGAGTTTCCACCCTGGATGCTTTCCATCTTCTGATAAATTTTGTCATGCAATTTTTTTCCTTGTTTTCCTAAAGCTTCTAGCACCTCAGTTAATATATTTAATTATCCACAGGATCAACAGTAAAATAGTAAAACTTAAATTTTCACTTGCAGTAAACGTCTTGGAGAAAACATCTGGGTATTGCAAGTAGAATTTATTTTCCAATTCCACACTATTTTACAGTTTCTGTAGAGCATCTATAAGTAGAGCATCTATAATTCTGCATCATGAACAAGGATTTTATGTTGTCATTTTGGGCTGATGGATACTCACCATTCTTATTCTGTACAATCAAAACTGATCAGGCATATCAAAAAAGGCAGATCTTTCTTAATTTATCATTAACTCCACGACAATTTACTGAACTTGAGGGAAAAGTACTATAGTTCTCATTCATGAAAAGCAATTTATATAGACAATGTTACCAAAACAACAGGCATCAAGTAAGTATCATACACCTAATTGTAAGGTTACTTAAATAGAATCATAAAATCATAGATTGGAAAAATCATAGGTTGGGAAAGACCTCTAAGATCACCAAGTCCAACTGTCAACGCAACACTATCATGCCCACTAAACCATGTCCCTAAGTGCCTCATCTACACATCTTTCAAATCTCTGCATTAATTCCAAACAAACTACATAACTGTACGGAAGCTTTGTGATTCACAGATTATACTCTTATGCCATAGCTTTGGAAAAGGATTAAAATACTTTAACACTAAAAAGATTTAGAACTTCTGAAGGCCACACATTAATTTCAGAAGTTGTATTCTAAATTAAAAAAAACAAAAACAAAAAATAAACAAGACAAAACCAAACGATTAATAGATTCCCATTTCTACCACACTTTTTAGGGTACACATCAGAGATGCCATAATGACACAAACCATCCCCTTCACCATTCAATGTTATCCATCAGTTTACTGAAAACATGCACAGATCAGTCACAGAACATGCAGCATGCAGTAAATGGAGAGCAGAGGTTAATAACCTGGAAGCATAGGATCTGAGAATGTGAGAACAAGTTAAAGACAAGAGTTCCTCTCCATTGTCACTGAGGGTCGAGAAGCAATGCTGCAGCGTAGAGCAGTGAGAGTGGGGGAAATACAGTTTGTCCAAGACATATACATATCTCCGCAAGTGGCGGCAGGTATAACTGAAAGACAAGGGTAAAGGGAGAAAAAACAGAAAAAAAGAGGTATTTTCCTTTAAGAAAGCTAATTCAAGGTTTAATGTCCTTGGTTTTTGTGCCAAGAAACAATGGAAGATGCCAAGTAACCAATGGAGCAGTTTGACATAAAACAACAGTTGCAAAAGACAGACGGATCTGACATGTCACAGACACAAGAATTTGGGCTTTTTTTCTTTTTTCTTTTTCCTTTTTTAATTGATATTATGTTAAGAAAAAATTTTTTGCCCCTCTCAGTTTGCCCTGAATATATAAATGCATGACCATGAAACTGCTTTACAAAGTCTACCATTAAAATAAAAAAATCAAACCACCTGAGAGTATTCAAAAAATTTAACTGATTTTCATGGATATTCGCATTTTGCTTTTAAGGAAAACATGCACACAGAATTACTGATGAGTGCAAACTGCACTTGCAGTCTGGGATTGAGAGCAGGATATTCCTGTAGTTAATTCTAGTTCCTCAAACATGGTGCTTTTTTTATAACTGAGTTACACATTTCAGACCTGGTCAGCTTTTTAATGAAAAACTATGATCACTTCCATGAAGTAACTATAGAGCAATCAATAAAATATTGAGTATTCATAGTAACCAACTCTAAATGCTCTTCAGTAAGAGAAATTGCCTATGCCCATTCACAGGATATCCTCCCACTCCTAATGGAAAGGAAAATAAACTAATTAGAGTAGTTTACCTGCAACAAACGGCATCCCTGATAAACTATGAAGCACATGCACCATGTAACCTCAATCATCTATTATTATGGGTTTTACACAGAAAATACTTCACTGCATAACGTTGTACAGATACACATGTGTGACAGCTGCAACCTCCTTACCAATTGTTTCATAGCTTCATAGGTTGAAACTTGACCAATGGGTTATCTACTCTAACTGCCCACATTTCCAGGCCAGTGTCCCTCTGTCATCCCTTTGTTGGACACATGTGGCTAAAACACTCTTTTGGGAGATCAAATTATTCACGTAGCTTGGGCAAAGAACAGGACATAAAAGAGTGCTACCAACAGCTGAGGCTTGGGAGCAAACAGTGGGGCTCCAAACCTAAGATGTTATCAAAATCAACATCTCCCATTGCTTCAGTTTAAACAGCACTCACTGCTGGGTTAAAGTCAGTCACCTACCTTTGCTCGGGAAGTTGAGGAACACGCAATCCCTGCTGGCACTTCATCTGCAGATATACTAGTTTTCAGGAGAGGAAGCAGCTGCAAGGAGGCAATTCCTTAAGCCATCATGCCTCTTTTTTTTTTTTCTTTTTTTTTCCTGACCACAGCATGTTTTGAGCAACACAAGCTATTCTCTTCACTCCACAGGCCAGGGATGGAGAAGATAAAGAATGGTATTTACAGGATCCCATGCCAAGGGGAACCCTCAACACATGAGCCTGCCCTTCCAGCTACCCACAAAGGCCACTGAATTTTTTCCAAAGCCAGATTAAAGAGCATCTTTTAGAATGCTGCTACTTAGAGTATTTAGTCATGAGTCCTCTGTTCCCATTTAGTGTATATTACCAGCCTTGTTACTAGAAAATTGTGCTTTATTTCAAGACAGTATAGGTCTCATTGTAACCATTTGATCTTGTTAGACTTTTGTTAAAAAACTGAGAACACCTTCTATTATCACTTATCTTTGACCCCTGATATAGGAAGGACCCATGTATAGGAAGGACAAGACTTGACTCCCAAAGCATGATGAGCACATTTAGGCCTAACTGACAAACTGGATGAGAACACAGCATGTGATGGAAGGAGGAGAAATTTCCCAAAAACTTCACCCGAGGTTTCATTCTCTGTTGTGACAGTACAGGGTGAGGTTGTAGCCACCAGTATGCCAGCAGCACTGCCTTCCCACAGCTGCCAGCCTTGATGCCATCGCTCCAGGCACTGTTGGAGCTGCTGGCTCAAGGTCCTACTTCAAGTGTCACACTTTGGGGAGGGGGGAACAACCAAAAAAACAACCTTCAAGCATCACCAGTCCTCTTAGGTATTTATACAATGCAATTCTGTAATCCCCCCTTTCATCATTACAGGTAGTAAGGGCAAGGCTATTCCTATTTTCGAAGTTGAACTTGTTTTCTTAAAGGTGTGATTTTTAAACCCATACGAAGAGCAATGCAATGCCATAAACCTGTGTTTTTGGACTTGTACTACAGTCACTGCGACCAGCACAGCTTACATCACCAGGACCCAGGGAACTACAGGCCAGTCAGCCTTGCCTCAATCCCTGGAAAGGTAATGGAACAGCTCACCCTGGAGGCCATCTCTAACCATGTGAAAGACAAGAAGGTCACCAGGGGTAGCCAGCATGGATTCACCAAAGGGAAATCATGCTTAACTAACCTGGTTGCCTTCTGTGATAGAACAACTGGCTGGATAGATGAGGGGAGGGCAGTGGATGTTGTACACTTGGACTTGAGCAAGGCTTTTGATACTGCCTCCCATGACATCCTCATTGGCAAACTCAAGTGTGGACTTGATGACTGGACAGTGAGGTGGACTGAGAACTGGCTGAATGGCAGAGGTCAGAGGGTTGTCATTGGTGGTGTGGAATCAAGTAGTGGTGTCCCCCAGGGGTCAATACTGGGTCCAGTGTTGTTCAACCTATTCATCAATGACTTAGATGAAGGAACAAGCCTCAGCAAAATCTGCCGATGATACTAAACTGGGAGGAGTGTTGGATACTCCAGATGGTTGCGCTGCTATTCAGAGGGACCTCGACAGGCTGGAGAGATGGGCAGAGAGGAACCTCATGAGGTTCAACAAGGGAAAGTGCAGGGTCCTGCATATGGGAAGGAATAACCCCAGGCACCAGTGCAGGCTGGGAGCTGACCTCCTGGAAAGCAGCTCTGCAGAGAAGGACCTGGGAGTCCTGGTGGACAACAAGTTAAACATGAGCCAGCAGTGTGCTCTTGGGGCCAGGAAGGCCAACGGTCTCCTGGATTGTATTAGGAAGAGTGTGGCCAGCAGGTCGAGGGAGGTTCTCCTCCCCCTCTACTCAGCCCTGGTGAGACCCTACCTGGCGTACAGTGCCCAGTTCTGGGCTCCCCAGTACAGGAAGGACATGGAACTCCGGGAGTGTGTCCAGCCAAGGGTGACTCAGATGATTAAAGGACTGGAGCATCTTTCTTATGAGGAAAGGCTGAGGGAGCTGGGCCTGCTCAGCCTGGAGAAAAGATGACTCAGAGGGTATCTGATTAATGTTAATAAATATTTAAAGGGAGAATGTCTGGAGGATGGGGCCAGACTCTTCTCATTGGCACCCAACAATAGGACAAGGGGCAATGGGCATAAACTGCAGCACAGGAAGTTCCACCTGAACATCAGGAAGAACTTATTGACTGTGAGGGTGACTGAGCACTGGGACAGGCTGCTCAGAGAGGTTGCAAAACATCCCTCCATTAAAATATTCAAAACTGTCTGGACAAAATCCTGGTTCATGTGCTCTGGGAGTCCCTGCTTGAGCAGGGGGGTTGGACTAGATGACCTTCAAAGGTCCCTTCCAACCTCAACCATTCCGTGATCCTGTGATATCAAAGACTAAGCATCTCTGTTCTTAAATCCTCTAAGCTAAACCTGAATAAAGTCAAGGCTTAGACCCCTCAACAGATACATACATTACGAAAAATGTACATCCCACTTCCACTGACTAACCATGGTTATCGAGTTTGAAATCACTTACTTGTTCCACCAGAAATCAGTTTTCCAGCAGCTGCTACATCTACAGTTACGTATTGCTGAAATTTTTGCTTTCTGTATGTTTTCTGGGGCATGTTACTTTTACATACAGCAAAAGGGAACCTTCAACTGCAATTCAGTACTGAAAAATTTGAAAAGGCAATATTGCAGCAACCCCCCCTACACACTATTTTGATGGTGTGCGTGCATGTATTATTCATGTATTCTATTTACTCTGAGGACAGAGCTCAGTACAGCTCATCCTGTACTAACATCCCACTCTAGATTATAGTTCACTCTTATAAAAAGTAAAAGTCAACATTTTGAATGCTGACAACAAAACATTAGTGTCAACTTCTAACAGCTAAAAAGTACAGCGGTTACGTAAGGCTGGGAAATCAGGGTGGACTTGAGTTATCTCAACTAATAAAATATATATATATTCTTACATAACAATAAACTTAGAAAACAATACATGAAGAAGCTCAAACCTGGCAGGCGTCAAATCAAAGCATCAAATTCAATCCTTTTGAAGTCAGAAAGTGGCATTGAGCAGTCTCCAAGGGTTTACTCCCACAGGTGGTTTTTTGTGGGTTTCTTTTTGTTTTTCACTTTCTCTACTACACACAGCAGGTAGGGAAATGAAAGAAAGAGACCAAAATTGAACCAAACACCAAAACCAACACAGAAAAGCCTCATTTGCTAATCACAAGTAATGCATATTTTTGAACAAAAATATACCTAAAATAATTTGACACTGTTCAGACAGCACAGAGAACCTGACATCCGTAAAGAGACCTGTAAACCACGTACTACTTGAGAGTATCTTCTACTTAAGTTTTTGGCATCCATTAAAACATCTCCTTCCCTGAGCCTGGCATTGTCTAATCTTGCCCAGCAGCTGGTATAAAATGAGAAGGCAGGGAGGAAGCTTCAGTATTGGCTGGGCAAATGAGACAAAAAAAAATTAAAAAATAATAATAAAAAAAATCCTACTTGAGTAAATTTACTTATTTTTTTTTCCTTTTTCTTCCTTGTTAAAACTTCCCAACTTGTGCAGTTCTCCTTCCTGCTGCCACCCTGCAGCCTGTTCTCATAAATCTTCAGGGGTGTTGCACTGATTTCTAAGTTTCCTCCAGTAATTATTCCACAAGGGGTGAACACCTGCTTATACCAATCTCCTGCAATCCTGGAGCTCTGGTCCTCTCTTCCTGAGAGGTTTTTAGATTTGTCTGAACCAGCAGTAGTTAAAATGAACACTTTCGTCATCACCCT